GGGAACTGAAGCACATGCTATACAGTCGTTAATTTCAGGAGGCCGATAAAATCGCAATGGTTACACGAACGCCAATGGGACATCGCACGTCCCTCTCGTTCGCAGAGTAAACAATCCACGTGAATGCGGCCACTTGTCCGATTGTTTACATCACAACAAATTAATTTCGTCGATGATATTGTAATATAAGTTTAAGCGTATGAATTCATGAATCTTATATGTCGATGCAACAGAAATTATATACATTAAAAAAGAGGGAAGGATGAGGACATATATATATACAATTTTAAGAAGCGAGTAAATGCCTCGGAATAGAAATAATGAAAGGCGGATCCCCACCCTGGCGAACGATCTCGGACACAAAAGCCCGCGCAATTCACTCTAATTACGCGCGAAAGAATACGAAAAAAATCCAATAATGGAAAGCAAACAGGGCAAAAAAAGAGATGAAAGCGGCTTTAACGTGTCTGAGGATAAGTGCTTGATTACAAGACATCAGATCACAAGTGTGTGATTACTCTCTCGTAATCTTGAATTTACTGTGAAAGTAATTGGGACGGGGGGGGGGGGCGAGGAGGAGAGGGTGGAGGGTGTTGTTTTCCGTGTAGTAAACAACCTCATGTTATTCCATTAAATGAGGGAGGGACAAGGTTAGGTGGAACGAAGGTAGTCTGTTCATGGGATGAGAACGTGAAGAACAGAAAATGTTCTTCCCTTCTCACTCATTTGGCTTAAAATTATCTTCCTATTATTGCTGTTTTACTTGCTCTCATTAGCATCATCATCGCTGTTATGATATAATTCATTTGGGTTCGTATTATTATTATCATTACCTTTGTTGCTATTGGTGTTATCATCATCATCGTAATTATCGTTATAAATATTATCTTTATTATTATTTCATTCATTATTATCTTTATGTTGTTGCTGTAATCATTATTTATTTTCATTATTGTCATTATTATCATTATTTTATTATTATTTATTATTATTATTATTATTATTATTATTATTATTATTATTATCATTGATATTATCATTTATTATCATCATCATTATTATCATTATCCTTTTTATCATTATCATTATTATTGTCATTGGTAGTAGTAGCAGTATCATTATCATGATCATTCTGATGATGATTATCATTACCACCATCAACAGTATTGCTGTAACCATTATCATTATCATTACTTTTGTCATCATCCAATATCACCATCATTGTTACCATTATCATCATCTTTATCACTAATCATCACAATCATCACAAAACGCCCCTGTCTCCCTTGCACGCGCCTTGCAAACCCCATTCAAGATAAGGAAGTTGACTTATCATTAGCGAGTTCTTATCGTCCGCCGATGCCCGCTCGATGCCGCCGGAAAATTGACGATAACGGAAGGTTGGAGTGGGGCGGCGGGTGGGGATAGCGGGGCGAGGCGGGTTGGGGATAGCGGCGAGGCGGGGGGGGGCGAGGCGGTTGGGGATAGCGAAGCGGGCGGGATAGCGGGGCGAGGCGGGTTGGGGATAGCGGGGCGAGGCGGGGGGGATAGCGGGGCGAGGCGGGTTGGGGATAGCGGGGGAGGCGGGGCGGGGATAGCGGGGCGAGGCGGGGGCGGGGATAGCGGGGCGAGGCGGGGGGTTAGCGGGGCGGGCGGGCGGGGAGGGCGAGGCGGGGGATAGCGGGGCGAGGCGGGGTTGGGGATAGCGGGGCGAGGCGGGGCGGGGATAGCGGGGCGAGCGGGGGATAGCGGGGCGAGGCGGGTTTGGGGATAGGGCGAGGCGGGGGCGATAGCGGGCGAGGCGGGTTGGGGATGGCGGGCGGGGGCGGAGGGGGGCGGGGATAGGCGGGGCGGAGGCGGGGCGGGGATAGCGGGGCGAGGCGGGGGGGATAGCGGGCGAGGCGGGATAGCGGGGCGAGGCGGGGTGGGGATAGCGGGCGAATAGCGGGCGAGATAGCGGGCGAGGCGGGTTGGGGATAGGCGGGGATAGCGGGCGAGGCGGGTTGGGGATAGCGGGGCGAGGCGGGTGGGGATAGCGGGCGAGCGGCGGGTAGCGGGGCGAGGGGGATATGGGCGAGGCGGGCGGGATAGCGGGGCGAGGCGGGGTTGGGGATAGCGGGCGAGGCGGGGGGAAGCGGCGAGCGGTTGGGGATAGCGGGCGGCGGGTTGGGGATAGCGGGGCGAGGCGGGTTTGGGGGGGGCGAGGCGGGGAGCGGGGCGAGGCGGGTTTGGGATAGCGGGGCGGGGCGGCGGGTGGGGAGCGGCGGCGGGGGGGATAGCGGGGCGAGGCGGGCGGGATAGCGGGGCGAGGGCGAGGCGGGTTGGGGATAGCGGGGCGAGGCGGGGGGATAAGCGGGGCGAGGCGGGTTGCGGGTTGGGATAGCGGGGCGAGGCGGGGCGGGGATAGCGGGGCGAGGCGGGTTGGGATAGCGGGGCGAGCGGGTTGGGATAGCGGGGCGAGGCGGGTTGGGGATAGCGGGGCGAGGCGGGTTTGGGATAGCGGGGCGAGGCGTGGGGATAGCGGGGCGAGGCGGGTTGGGGATAGCGGGCGAGGCGGGGGGGATAAGCGGGGCGAGCGGGTTGGGGATAGGCGGGGCGAGGCGGGTTGGGGATAGCGGGGCGAGGCGGGGCGGATAGCGGGGCGAGGCGGGGCGGGGATAGCGAGGCGGATTTGGGGATAGCGGGCGAGGCGGGTTGGGGATAGCGGGGCGAGGCGGGCGGGCGGGCGAGGCGGGTTGGGGATAGCGGGGCGAGGCGGGCGGGGATAGCGGGGCGAGGCGGGCGGGGATAGCGGGCGAGGGCGGGTTGGGGATAGCGGGCGAGCGGGTTGGGGATAGCGGGGCGAGGCGGGTTGGGATAGCGGGCGAGGCGGGGTGGGATGCGGGGGGGCGGGGCGGGATAGCGGGCGAGGCGGGGGCGGGGATAGCGGGCGGCGGCGTTGGGGAAGGCGGGCGAGGGCGGGGGGATAGCGGGCGGGGCAGGCGGGGAGGCGGGTTGGATAGCGGGGCGAGGCGGGTTGGGGATAGCGGGGCGAGGCGGGTTGGGATAGCGGGGCGAGGCGGGGTTGGGGAATAGCGGGGCGAGGCGGGCGGGGATACGGGGCGAGGCGGTTGGGATAAGCGGGGGCGAGGCGGGGTGGGATAGCGGGGCGAGGCGGGGGATAGCGGGGCGAGGCGGTTGGGGATAGCGGGGCGAGGCGGGTGGGGATAGCGGGGCGAGGCGGGCGGGGAGCGGGGGAGGCGGTGTTGGGATAGCGGGCGAGGGGGTTGGGGATAGGCGGGGCGAGGCGGGTTGGGGATAGCGGGGCGAGGCGGGGCGGATAGGCGGGCGAGGCGGGGTTGGGGATAGCGGGGCGAGGCGGGGCGAGGGGGGGGATAGCGGGCGAGGCGGGTTGGGGATAGCGGGGCGAGGCGGGTTGGGGATAGCGGGGCGAGCGGGCGGGTGGGGATAGCGGGGCGAGGCGGGGGGGATAGCGGGCGAGGCGGGTTGGGGAATAGCGGGGCGAGCGGGGCGGGGGTTAAGGGGGCGAGGCGGTTGGGATAGCGGGGCGAGGCGGGTTGGGGATGGCGGTTGGATAGCGGGGCGAGGCGGGTGGGGATAGCGGGGCGAGGCGGGATAGCGAGGGCGGCGAGGCGGGTTGGGGGATAGCGGGCGAGGCGGGTTGGGGATGGGGCGAGGCGGGTTGGGGGCGGCGAGGCGGGTTGGGGATAGCGGGCGAGGCGGGTGGGGGATAGCGGGCGAGGCGGGTTGGATAGCGGGCGAGGCGGGTGGGGGATAGCGGGATTAGCGGGGCGAGGCGGGGCGGGAGCGGGGCGATACGGGGCGAGGCGGGTTGGGATGGGGCGAGGCGGGCGGGGATAGCGGGGCGAGGCGGGTTGGGATAGCGGGGCGAGCGGGTTGGGGATAGCGGGGCGGGGCGAGGCGGGTTGGGGATAGCGGGGCGAGGCGGGTTGGGGATAGCGGGGCGAGCGGGTTGGGATAGCGGGGCGAGGGCGGAAGGGGATAGCGGGCGAGGCGGGGCGGGATAGCGGGGCGAGGCGGGTTGGGGATAGCGGGCGAGGCGGGTGGGGATAAGCGGGGCGAGGCGTTGGGATAGCGGGGCGAGGCGGATTGGGGATAGCGGGCGAGGCGGGTTGGGATAGCGGGGCGAGCGGGTTGGGGGATAGCGGGGCGAGGCGGGTTGGGGATAGCGGGGCGAGGCGGGTTGGGGATGCGGGGCGAGGCGGGTTGGGTAGCGGGGCGAGCGGGGGCGGGTTGGGATAGCGGGGCGAGGCGGGTTGGGGATAGCGGGCGAGGCGGGTTGGGGTATAGCGGGGCGAGGCGGGTTGGGATAGCGGGGCGAGGCGGGTTTGGGATAGCGGGCAGGCGGGTTTGGGGATAAGCGGGGCGAGGCGGCGTGGGGATAGCGGGGCGGGCGGGGTTGGGGATAGCGGGGCGAGGCGCGGTTGGGAAGCGGGGCGAGCGGGTGGGGAAGCGGGAAGGCGGGGGGATAGGGAGGCGAGTTGGGGATAGCGGGCGAGGCGGGGGTTGGGGATAGCGGGCGAGGCGGGGGGGATAGCGGGGCGAGGCGGGTGGGGATAGCGGGGCGAGGCGGTTGGGGATAGCGGGCGAGGCGGGTTGGGGATAGCGGGGCGAGGGCGGGGTTGGGATAGCGGGGCGAGGCGGGTTGGGGATAGCGGGCGAGGCGGGAGGGATAGCGGGCGAGGCGGGTTGGGGATAGCGGGGCGAGGCGGGTTGGGGATAGCGGGGCGAGGCGGGTTGGGGATAGCGGGCGAGGCGAGGCGGGTTGGGGATAGCGGGGCGAGGCGGGGGATAGCGGGCGAGGCGGGTTGGGATAGCGGGCGAGGCGGGTTGGGATAGCGGGGCGAGCGGGGATAGCGGGGCGAGGCGGGTTGGGGATAGCGGGGCGAGGCGGGGCGGGGGTAGCGGGGGAGGCGGGGCGGGATAGCGGGAGGAGGCGGTTGGGGACAGCGGGGCGAGGCGGGTGGGGATAGCGGGGGAGGCGGGCGGGGATAGCGGGGGGAGGCGGGTTGGGGATACGGGCAGGCGGGTGGGGATAGCGGGCGAGGCGGGTTGGGGATAGCGGGGCGAGGCGGGGGGGATAGCGGGGCGAGGCGGGTTGGGGATAGCGGGGCGAGGCGGGTTTGGGATAGCGGGGCGGCGGGCGTTGGGATAGCGGGGCGAGGCGGGGTGGGGATAGCGGGGCGAGGGCGGGTTGGGGATAGCGGGGCGGGCGGGCGGGATAGCGGGGCGAGGCGGGGCGGGATAGCGGGCGAGCGGGTGGGGATAAGCGGCGAGGCGGGGGGAATAGCGGGCGAGGCGGGTTGGGGATAGCGGGGCGAGCGGGTGGGGATAGCGGGGCGAGGCGGCGTTGGGATAGCGGGCGAGGCGGGCGGGGATAGCGGGGGCGAGGCGGGTTGGGGAGCGGGCGAGGCGGGCGGGATAGGCGGGGCGAGGGCGGGGCGGGATAGCGGGGCGAGGCGGGTTGGGAGCGGGGCAGGCGGAGGTGGGATAGCGGGGCGAGGCGGGTTGGGATGCGGGGCGGGCGGGGCGGGATAGGGGCGGGTTGGGGGGGAGGGGGCGAGGCGGGGTGGGGATAGCGGGGCGAGCGGGGGGGATAGGGCGAGGCGGGTTGGGATGGGGATGGGGAGCGGGCGAGCGGGTTGGGGATAGCGGGGCGAGGCGGGTTGGGATAGCGGGGCGAGGCGGGTTGGGGATAGCGGGGCGAGGCGGGGCTGGGGATAGGCGGGGCGAGGCGGGCGGGATAGCGGGGGAGGCGGTTGGGATAGCGGGCGAGGCGGGTTGGGGATAGCGGGGCGAGGGCGGGTTGGGGAGCGGGGAGAGGCGGGTTGGGGATGCGGGCGAGGCGGGTTGCGGGTTGGCGGGGATGATAGCGGGGCGGGTTTGGGGATAGCGGGGCGAGCGGGGAATAGCGGGCGAGGCGGGGGTTGGGGATAGCGGGGCGAGGGGGCGGGATAGCGGGCGAGCGGGCGGGATAGCGGGGCGAGGCGGGGATAGCGGGCGAGGCGGGTTGGGGGCGAGCGGGGCGAGGGGCGCGGGCGGGGGGGATAGCGGGCGAGGCGGGGCGGGGATAGCGGGGCGAGGCGGTTGGGGCGATAGCGGGCGAGGCGGGTTGGGGATAGCGGGCGAGGCGGGGATAGCGGGGCGAGGCGGGTTAGGGAATAGCGGGGCGAGGCGGGCGGGGAAGGGGCGAGGGCGGGAGAAGCGGGGCGAGGCGGGGGGGATTGGGATAGCGGGCGAGGCGGGGGGGGATAGCGGGCGAGGCGGGTATTGGGATAGCGGGGCGCAGGCGGGGGATTGGGGGGGGATGGGCGAGGCGGCGGCGGCGGGGGGGGATGCGGGGGGATAGCGGGCGAGGCGGGGCGGGATAGCGGGGCGAGGCGGGTTGGGGATAGCGGGGCGAGGCGGGGGCGGGATAGCGGGGCGATAGCGGCGGGGATAGCGGGGGAGGCGGGTTGGGAGCGGGCGGGCGGGGATAGCGGGGCGAGGCGAGGCGGGTTGGGGATAGCGGGGCGAGGCGGTTGGGGATAGCGGGGCGAGCGGGGCGGGGATAGCGGGGCGAGGCGGGTTGGGGATAGGGCGGGCGGGGCGGGGGATAGCGGGGCGAGGCGGTGTGGGGATAGCGGGGCGAGGCGGGCGGGGATAGCGGGCGAGGCGGGTTGGGGATAGCGGGCGAGGAGGGTTGGGGATAGCGGGGGGCGCGGGTTGGGGATAGCGGGGCGAGGGCGGGTTGGGATAGCGGGGCGAGGGGGTTGGGGATTAGCGGGGCGAGGCGGGGTGGGGACGAGCGGGGAGAGGCGGTTGGGGACAGCGGGGAAGAGGGTCGGGGTTGCGGGGATAGCGGGGCGAGGCGGGTTTGGGGAAGCGGGGCGAGGCGGGTTGGGGATAGCGGGGCGAGGCGGGCGGGATAGCGGGGCGGAGGCGGGTTGGGGATAGCGGGCGAGGCGGGTTGGGGATAGCGGGAGCGGGCGGGGGGGATAGCGGTCGAGCGGTGATTGGGGATAGCGGGGCGAGGGGGTTGGGATAGCGGGGCGAGGCCGGGTTTTAGCGGGCGATGCGGGCGAGGCGGCGGGTGGGGGATAGGGGGATGGCGGGTTGGGGATAGCGGGGGAGGGGCGGGGACAGCGGGGCGAGGCGGGTGGGATAGCGGGGGGAGGCGGGCGGGAGCGGTGCGAGCGGGGTTGGGGATGCGGGGAGGCGGGTTGGGGAAGCGGGGCGAGCGGTTGGGGGCGGGGTTGAGGCGGTCGGGGACAGGCCGGCGAGGCGGGGTGGGATAGCGGGGGCGGGAGCGGGTCGGGGAGGGCGAGCGGGGGGCGAGGCGGGTTGGGGCATAGCGGGGGAGCGGGTGGGGAAGCGGGGAGGCGGGTGGCGCGGCGGCGGGCGGGGGATAGCGGGGCGAGGCGCGGGCGAGGGGATAGCGGGGCGAGGCGGGTTGGGGATAGCGGGGCGAGGCGGGTTGGGGATAGCGGGGCGAGGCGGGTTGGGGATAGCGGGGGGGCGGGGGGATGCGGGCGAGGCGGGTCGGAAGCGGGGCGAGGGCGGTTGGGGATAGCGGGGCGAGGCGGGGCGGGGAGCGGGCGGGCGGGTGGGGATAGCGGGCGAGGCGGGCGGGTAGCGGGGCGGAGGCGGTCGATAGAGGCGGGTGGGGATACGGGGCGGGCGGGCGGGGATAGCGGCGAGGCGGAGTGGATAGCGGGGCGAGGCGGGTTGTTGGGGATAGCGGGCGAGGCGGTTGGGGATAGCGGCGGCGAGGCGGGTTGGGATAGCGGGGCGAGGGCGGCCTTGTGGGGATAGCGGGAGGCGGGTCTGGGGACGAGCGGGGCGCGGCGGGGCGGTGGGGATAGCGGGGCGAGCGGGTGGGATAGCGGGCGAGGCGGGTTGGGATAGCGGGGCGAGGCGGTGTGGGGAGCGGGGCGGGCGAGTAGCGGCGCGAGGCGGTTAGGGGAGGATGTCGGGGCGAGGCGACGGGTTTGGGATAGCGGGGCGAGGCGGGGTTGGGGATATGCGGGGCGAGGCGGGTTTGGGATAGCGGGCGAGGCGGGTGCGGGGCGAGCGGGGCGAGGCGGGTTGGGGATAGCGGGCGCGGTTTGGGAATAGCGGGCGAAGGCGGGGCGGGGAATAGGCGGGGGGCGATAGCGGGGCGGGTATGGGGATAGCGGGGCGAGGCGGGTTGGGGATAGCGGGGCGAGGCGGGTTGGGGATAGCGGGGCGAGGCGGGTATGGGGATAGCGGGGGGCGAGGCGGGTTGGGGAATAAGCGGGGCGAGGCGCGGTTGGGGATAGCGGGGCGAGGCGGGTTGGGGATAGCGGGGCGAGGCGGGTTGGGGATAGCGGGGGCGAGGCGGGGCGGGGATAGCGGGGGCGAGGCGGGTTGGGGATAAGCGGGAGCGGGCGGGAGGCGGGTTGGGGATAGCGGGGCGAGGCGGGTTGGGGATACGGCGGGGCGAAGGCGGGTTGGGGATAGCGGGGCCGAGGCGGGTTGGGGGATAGCGATAGCGGGGCGAGGCGGGTTGGGGATAGCGGGGCGAGGCGGGTTGGGAGAGCGGGCGAGGCGGGTTGGGGATAGCGGGGCGGAGGCGGGTTGGGGATAGCGGGGCGAGGCGGGTTGGGGATAGCAGGGGCGAGGCGGGCGGAGGGGGATAGCGGGGCGAGGCGGGTTGGGGATAGCGGGCGAGGCGGGTTGGGGATAGCGGGCGAGGCGGGTTTGGGGAGATAGGCGGGGGCGAGGCGGGTTGGGGATAGCGGGGCGAGGCGGAGTTGGGGAGAAGCGGGGCGAGGCGGGGTCGGGGATAGCGGGGCGGGGCGGGTTGGGGATGCGCGGGGGGATAGGGGCGAGGCGGGGCGAGGCGGGTTGGGCGATGTATGGGGATAGCGGGGGCGAGGCGGGTTGGGGATAGCGGGGGGGCGGGGAATAGGCGGGGCGGAGAGCGGGTTGGGGATAGCAGCGGCGCGAGGCGGGTTGGGGATAGCGGGGCGAGGCGGGTTAGCGGGCGAGGCCGGGGCGGGGATAGCGGGGGATAGCGGGGCGAGGCGGGTGGGGATAGCGGGGCGAGGCGGGTTGGGCGATAGGCGGGGGCGAAGGCGGGGTTGGGGATAGCGGGGCGAGGCGGGTTGGGGAGGCCGGGTTGAGGGATAGGCGGGGCGAGGCGGGTTGGGGATATCGCGGGGCGACAGGGCGGTGAAGGGGATAGCGGGGCGATAGCGGGCGACGGCGGGTTGGGGATAGCGGGCGGGCGAGTTTGGGGATGGGCGAGGATACGCGGGGCGAGGCGGGTCGGGGATAGCGGGGCGGAGGATAGCCGGGGAGAGGCGGGTTGGGGATTAGCGGGGCGAGGCGGGTTGGGGATAGCGCGGGCGAGGCCGCGGTTGGGGATAAGAGGGGGGAGGCGGGTTGGGGATAGCGCGGGCGAGGCGGGGGCGGGGATAGCGGGGCGCAGGCAGGGCGGGAAATAGCCGGGGCGAGGCGGGTTTTGGGGATAGCGGGCGAGGCGGGGTTGGGGATAGCGGGGCGAGGCGAGGTTGGGGATAGCGGGCGAGGCGGGTTTGGGGATAAGCGGGGCGAAGGCGGGGTGGGGATCCGCGGGGCGAGGCCGGGTTGGGATAGCGGGCGAGGCGGAATTTGGGGATAGCGGGCGAGCGGGGTGGGGAATACGCGGGCGAGGCCGGGTTGGGGATAGCGGGGCGACGCGGGTATGGGGATAGCGGGGCCGAGGCGGGTATAGGGAGATCAGCGGGGCGACGGCGGGGTGGGCGATAGCGGGCGAGGCGGGGTGGGGATAGCGGGCGCGAGGCGGGTTTGGGGATAGCGGGGCAGAGGCGGTTGGGGATAGCGGGGGCGAGCGCGGCAGTTGGGGAATCAACGCGGGACGAGGCGGGTTGGGGAAATATTTCCTTGGAGGGCGAGCGCGGGTTTGGGGGATATAACGCGGGGCGAGGCGGGTTTGGGATAGCGGGGAGAGGCGGGTTGGGGATAGCGGACG